TTTTTTTTTGTTGTTAAAAGTAAAAAATAATTTTAGAATATTAAAAGGGGCTAGAATAGAGTTCCTTTTTTCTTTTTCTTTTTTTTCAAGTTCACAAAGTAAATTAGATATTCTAGAAATTCAGGGACTAAAATAAAAAAAATGCAAAGTTAGGACCAAAAAAATGAGATTTAAACCTTCTTTCATTCTAGTTGTATTTTTGAAAGATAGATTTTGTATTAGAAAGAGATTAATTTTGTAATCAAGTCTTGATTCTACGGTAAAGGACAAATTATTTTTGTAATTATATCTTATTAATTAGTGTTAAGGATCCCACGTTGATAAAAGAAGGGACCTAACAATGGTTTATAATAGACATGGGCTACTCCTCTCATTACCAATTGGTTTTGAGATGGAACTCATGAATATTAATATGGTATCAGAGCCCATAAGCTCAAACGAGCATTCGGTCCAAAATGGGATCCTTAACAATTAGCATAACTAGGTGTATAAAGTGAAGTTGTATATTTAGTAATGATGGAATGAAATTCTAGCTGTTTTTGCATTCTCTTCATTTTAATCTACTAAATTTAGGTTTAAGATTTTAATTTCATTCTTGATTATGATTGTTCAATATATGTTTCACTTTATTATTTTTTAAAATCTAAGAGAGGGATGTATATAATATATCTATATGTCATGAACTATTTAGTTCATTAATGTTAATAAAAGCCAAAACGAGTATAGCTGAACGATAATTAACATATATCTCCAATATAAAGGTGATGAGTTCGACCTCCCACCCTGCCTGTTGTACTAAAAAAAATTAATAGAAAATAAAATAGATAGTAAAGTACTAATTTGTTGCTTGCATTTTAAGGACGAAAATTGTGAAATGACTTAATAGTACTTGAGATACAAATTTTAAAACTTTAAAAACTAAATTAAAAATTAGGTAAATTTTAGAGACTACACCTATGTCTTAACCTTAGATTTTGTATTTGGTTTGAATATTAGAAAATTCAGTCCCTTCATTATTATATGATTTAATGATCTGTAAAATTGTTTACTATAAGATAATAAAAAATTTTACCTGGGTCAACTAAAGTATAATTAAACAAGTTAAAAATCTATCATCGACCAAACGTTAAGAGGTCGAATCTCCAACTCTACATATTATTCAATTAAAAAAATTACTAATGTTAATCAGCTAAAATATAGATAAACCAAAATAATTTAATGTTTTATAATGATGGATAATAAAGAAAACTATGTTTTTGGTCTTCAAAAATTGAGAAATTGTTTAATTTGGTCCAACTCTTTTTTGCTATAAATTATGTTTCGATTATGAATTTTCATGTTTATTTTTTTTTTATCCCTAAATTTTCAAGCTTTCTAGTTTAATCCCTAAGCTTTAAATTAAAAAAAAAAAATCATTTTAATTTTTATCATCAAGTTTTTTGTCGCTTATGTAATAAAAAAAAATTGTTGTCGGTTGTATATCTTTTGTTTATTTACTTTATCCATAAATGTCTACATAAGTACCTTTTTCAAGTCATATGGTAGTTAGGGTGTTGCATTTTCAAATGGATTCGAGTTCTTTTTAAAAGATTAAGTGAAAAATTAATGCAAAGTGAAAAATTAATTAACGTCACATATTGAAAAAAAATTATGTAAAGTTTAAAAATTAAAATAAAATATTTGAAAGTCTAGAAACTGAAACAAAATAAATACGAAAACCGTTTTCTTTTTCTTTTTTTTTTCAAAAAAGAAAACTTAACTAAAGTGTCAAATTTAAAAAAACGAAAAAAAGTTGCATACAATCCAAAATTTTAAAAATTTTAAATTACATATTTAAAATTTTTCCAATTTCGACTTTAAAATTATCTATCATAACACCTCAAAACATTAACACCATTAGACTAAGAAATAATAATTTGTGTCACGTAGAATATTAACAAAAATAGCTAAACAATGTAAAGCCAAGTGGAATGAAGTTAGGAGAAGTTTGAACAATAATATTTAACCACCCTTCCGAATTCATTCAAATTCACATCAATTAACTAAAGAAATATAAGCATAAGGAGGGGATGATTAAGAAAAATAAAGTATAATTAATTGTAAGAATCAAATTAAAAGTAGAATTAAAACTTAGAAAATCATACAAACCAAATAAAAATGATCCCAAAATTTTACCGGCTAAATTTATAATTTAACTTAAAAGATAAAATAGAGCGGGAACATGTTAAAACTTAAAAGTTTATATATAATAAATTTAAATACTATTTTAATTATTATACTTTCAACTTTGGTTCACTTTTCCTATCTATAGATTTCTAAATATTCATTTTGATCGAGGTACTTTCAAACTCTTATTTATTTTAGTTACTATATTTTCAAAATGTCTCTTTTTGTCGCTATATTTTAAAAAGCAAGTTCATATTAACAAATCTTTAAAACAATTTTCATATACAATGAAATTTTTTTAATGCAAACTTATGAATATACTTCAAGAAATTTAGTAACAGAGTGTCGTACTAAAATTGTGATTGAAATAAATAAGATAAAAGTAAAAGTAAACCGATCAAAAGGGTAACTTTCATAAAATAGAGGAACCAAAAACCAACATTTCGAGAGTAAAAAACAAAAAGTTGAGATGAACTGAAATAGACGTTTTAAGTGTAAATCGACACAAATGAATGAGCTGAGTATTTAAACCTATAAAAGCCAACCACCAATAAGGTGTGGAGAGAGAGAGAGGTGCAGACATAGCCGTGCCTAATGCCTACAAACTTTAAAAACAAAAATTAAAGCCAAAGATTCACATTGCCAATTAAATAAAAATAAATAAATATATATATATATACATATAGATTTTTTGAGGGGCTGGTCCAGCAATGGGGTTGGTGAAATTAATTTTAATTATTTATATCCCAACCCCCTATACTCTAAATTTACACGCAACCCATCTTCAAATAAATATTTTCATTTTCATTTTTTTAATTTAATTTTTGGATAACGGCCCCCCTTTCTATTTGCATGTGTGGATACTGCCTTCTTCTGGTTCGAGTCTGTCTACCTTCAAATGTGGATTTCCTTTTGGTTTATACCACAATTGTATCTAATAAAAATTGAATTCAAAGTTTGGCTGTTTCAGAATAATAATAATGTTAAAACTTTTAAGACCGATACTTCATAACAATTTAATCCATGTACTTATAAATTGGTAACAATATAATTTGTTCTATGATATATAAAATAATTCGGTTTAGTTTAAAGTTCGTAATGATTTAGTTCCTATCACGAAAAGTGATGTTAAGATTTAATAGAGTTTCTTTTATTTATATATATAGACTTGATAAACGTACGAGAAATCCAAATGTGTTTGTAAATTACAAATACAAAATTTGTATTATGTTGTTGGTTATCAATCTCAAATCGTATTTTTTAAGTACAACATGTGGGGTGGAGGATCGAGCTCACAATCTCTTGGTTGGAGATATATGTCAATTACCGTTGAGCTATGCTCACTTTGGCAATGTTCAAATTTTTCAAAATTAAGTTTTTTATTTTATATCATAGGCATATTTAACTCATTAAATTAAAACATATCATTCTTCCAACACAACTCATAAACTACATTTAAATACCACACTGCCATTTTAAGGTTTTGGCCAATAATTTCAACGTTTCATGACAGTAAAAGTAGAAAACTTGATTCATAAATATGAAATCGCATCAATCTAAATATAATTCAACTAGTCAACAAGACTATTTTATGATCTTTCTTATAGATCCAAATTTTCAATTCTCGTCCCAATGTTTGAAAACTTTTAAAGTAACAAATACGAAATCGAAAGGTGTACGAAACCGAAAGGTGTCACAAAAAATAGAGACCCATCAATATTTTAGCCTTCAGAAGGAAAAAAAAAGACAGTTGTAAGGTTTGCTTGGAGGGTTGAGTCCATTAAAGTTGGGGGATTGCTAATTTCTTGTGTGTCTGCAAAAAAGGACAATGCAGTGACTGCAATGGGCTGCGCCGTACTTGAAACTACTACTTCAACTTTGCCTTCAACTCCCCATAATGATTTTGTGGCTTATTGCCTTTGCTTTGGACTTCATCTACAAGAATTTTTGCCTCTTTTCCAAGCTTTTCATCATTTGTGAAAGGTCTTTATTAGGGGCCGTTTCGCTCGAGATATTTTCGGGATCGGTCCATTTGTTGTTTTGGCTGCCGATCGAGTAGTGAGAAGGCTGGGTTGTGTTGATGTTTGAGTAATTTGTACTTTTGCTTTATGATTTTCTTCTCATTCAAAGATCCCTTTATGTTTGAAGAAAACTATTATCTTGATTTGAGCCAACATAATTGTAAACGAACCGAACCTTAAACCAATCGACCCTTTTTCCAAAGGTCAAAGAGCATAGGCCTACCCTTGAACGAGTCAAGCACGGTCGAAAGCGATAAATGCTTAATTCGCTCAACTAACAGCAAAATCGGAGGATAACGATACCATCTCCCCTACCATAACCAAACTAGTCCATCATTAATACTACTTTTGAAGATGCCAAAGAGAAGAAACCTGTTTCTTCTTTTGCTTTTAGCCCTCCTTAAAAGCAATCTGCTCATGGTGGTGTGGTGTGGTTTGTCTTGTAATCCAGGAAGGTAAGATGTGTAGAAGTTGATTTCTTTCTTTTTCAACTCAAAAAACAAAGACTTGTCATGTGTTCTGTTGAATGTAATGTGGGTGATATAAGAGTTTCGAAACCGCTTTTGTCAGTGCAACCAGGAAAGTTTCGAATCGAAACTCATGTAAGGAGAAGTTTTGTAGGTCTCATAAAAAATAAATCCTAAAGGAATTCCAAATCAGATGTGATAAAGTGAACCAAGCACCAGTCTAACTCAGAATATTCATATCAGAGAAGATAGATGCAGCAAAGTTTCAGTTTCTAACCGAAAACCCGATAATATTCGATAAACCAAACAGAAAGCAGAGACGAACCAGTTTGAAGAACCAAAGAAATCAGTCAAATCCGCCTAAATCTTGTCTGCCTCAAGTTAATTGTACAGAATTAAACAAAACTGATCAGTTGTATGACAACAAAATATACATAACCAAGAACGAAAGAACGCATACCTATCGGGAAAACCACGACGACAACCTCCGAAATATTTATAAAAAGAAAAACCTAAAAATGGTATAACCTGTAAATTCTCATGTTAAAATCTTTTGAGGTAACTAAGAAGAATTACAGAAACATCTTCTGTTGACTACTTCGGAATTCCTTATTTTTTACGCTCTTTCAAGATACTGGGAAAAATAAATACAGAATCTACACAAAGGCCACCTTTAGAATGCGTGCAGTCGATCTGTTTCATGGAAAATCTAATTTCTGTGGCTGAACCCGACTCGTTGACGAAAAATTCACCTACCTTGTATTCTATCCAACATCCTCGCTTACGGTTTCCATTTACATCAAGTAGTTCGTGCTCGTCTAAACAGAATTCATGTGTTGCTTGCTGTCCATCAGAAGTAGAGAATTCAAACCGTACAGGCTTTACATCCCAACCATGAGTATGCTCGAAGCTGCATACACGTCGGCCTAGCCGTCTGTAGAATCTTCCAAGGTGAAGCCTGAAGGTCAGCGTGTAGATGTCAGCAGGAAAATGAAATTTCACCATCCCATCAGCTTCAAACCACCAAATTTGCTGCAGGTATGCCACAACATTGAACCTGAAAGCATCGAGCAACATAAGTGGCATGCTATTATTTTGTAAGATAGTAATCATTTGCTAAAAGCCTAAATAACAACCAAACAAACACGAACTCCAGCAGTCCTGCTTGATGGAAATCACATTATTCGGGTGCACAAAACCCACTCGTTAAAAACGTTATCAAGTCTAGTTTCGTGGTTCTCTGATAGTTTTGCCTCTTTCCACATTTGAATGTATGGGGAAAGAGTTGTGCATACATCCACAAGAGAAAAGATACGCCGTGAGCTCAAAAAGGAAAAGGCAATATTAACAGAGCCAAGATGATATACCATCCCCACAGAAGACTTGAAAGTCACCACCTAGAAGCAAACACATGACTCGAAAATTTGTTCAAAAGATGTATCAAACATGATAGAAAATGAAATACTATACACCAAAGCATATACCGAAACTTAGACCGAGAGAAATCAAATAAAAAGATTCTGACCAATTCCATCTAGTGTGCACATGATTAGTATATAAAAATAAATAAATAAATAAAATCGCTCTCATGTCATCATCAAAGTACAACTCAGAAGGGAAGGAATTATCAGCATGGCAAAGCAGTCTAAAACACCAAATATCAATGATCAAACCAGCATTTCAACTTTCCATATCCATGCCCATCATAGCAGAGCAGAGGAAAATATTATAATTCTTTGATAATATCACTCCTCATTGAGAAAAAATCACATCAGATTCTTCTATCAGTCCCCAGTTTCCTCACAAAAAACATTTCAACAAATTGGATGGTACTGCAGTCACACATGACAGAACAAATTTTCATTCTATCCTAACAACTGCCTCGACAAAGAAACAATATAATCAGAAGAAACCAAGGGAGTAAAGGTATTCAAAACCCAATGGCATATATAAGCCTATCCATAAATACATTCTCCATCAAAATGCAAACAAACCATGAAACTTTCTATTACTTGAATGAATTGGCTAAAATATAAACTCAATCCAAGAACAAAAAGCCTACAAAATGTCAAAAACCAACTAAATAATCAAGTAACTTTGTTGTATTAAACATTTGTTGAACTCAGAGTGACAGACTATAAATGATATATTAAAGATTCAAGCTAGGGGTAATCTGAGTCTAACCGAGACTCTTCAGTAGGAATCCAATTCCAGTATCTTCTATCGTCGATTCCAGTTATTGCCATGGCCTTTGATGATATCGACATGCAAATCTTTCCGGTGATTCTGTCAAGCCACACCTCCTGTAAAAATGGTTCAAAATTCCATAAACGAACCTCTCATCTTCGCAAATTAGAGCACACAAATCCACAAGAAATCAAACGCTGAACTCAAAAGAGAACAATCCATAAAAACCCTAACACAGAACTTGCTACCCAGAAGAGAAAGAAAGAGAGATGAAACGAAATGCTGCTATTGGGAAGACGACGAACCTTATTTCCACCATCGAACGGAACCGGACGAGATAACAAAGCGTATATATTCTTCTTCGAGAAATTTTGGTACCGCTCTGGGGGCAACAAATCGAGGAGATC